AGTAGCAGCAGGATTGGTAGCATTAGTAGCACCGCCACCCCTACAGCCCCAACCAGCATACCACTCACGCAGCTGCTGGGGCGTGAGGGACTCACGCAGACGTCGCTGGGGCTGCATCTGGCTCCGCCAGTAGAAGCAGGAGCAGGACTAGCAGCAGTAAGGCAGGCAGCCAGGCAAGCCAAAAGGCAGGCAGGCAGGCAAGCAGGCAACGGGCAGCGTGCTAGCAGGGCAGGAGCTCACCAGTGGTGGGAAGAGCAGGCTCGGCGACTCAGCAGCTCGGCAGCACCGCGGCTCGGCAGCAACTGCGGCTCTGCGGCTCGGGCGACTCGGGCGGCTCGGCGGCAAGGCGGCTCGGCAGAAACTGCAGCTCGGCAGCTTGGCGACCCGGCGGCTCGGTTGCAGGGCGGCTCGGCTGCTGGGCGGCTCGGGTGCAGAGTGGCTCGGCGGCGGGGCGGCTCGGCTGCTGCAGTTGGGCGGCTCGGCTGCTGCAGTGGGAGACGAAGGAGGAGGAGAAGCAGGGGAGACCACACACCTGCCACGTCGCGACGGGCGACGGGAAAAGGGGTGGCGGGGCCGCGACGGGGCGGCGGGGCCGCAAGGAAGAGGTGGCGAGGCCGCGAAGGGGCGGCGGGGCCGCGAGGAAGCGGCTGGGCGGCCCGGCTGCTGCTAGGCGGCTCGGCTACTGCTGGGCGGCTCGGCTGGTGCTGGGAGGCTCGTGGGCCGCTGTTGGGCGGCCGTTGGGCCGCAGGTAGGGCGGCAAAGGGGCCGACGTTGAGGCGGCTGTAGGGCCGCAGGTAGGAGGCGGCGGGGCCGCGCCAGGGAGGGCGGGCGGGGCCGCGTTCGAAGTGGGCGGCGGGGCCGCGTCTGAAAAGGCGGGCGGGGCCGCGTCTGAGAGGGCGGGCGGGGCCGCGTCTGAGAGGGCGGCGGGGCCGCGTCTGAGAGGGCGGCGGGGCCGCGTTCGAAGTGGGCGGCGGGGCCGCGTCCAAAAGGGGCGGCGGGGCCGCGTCTGAAAGGGCGGCGGGGCCGCGTCTGAAAGGGCGGCGGGGCCGCGTCTGAAGGGGCGGCGGGGCCGCGAGGGAGGGGCGACACGGAGGGTCGCGCGAGAGAGAGAAAAAAAAAAAGTTAGCGCGCCTCGGGGCGCGCTTCGGTGGGCCCTAGGCGAAGTTCCCACAGGGAACCCGCTCTATACCATGTGATAATTGTAGAACAGGAATGAGAATGACTAAGGAAAGAATGGTACAAATACAACCCTAGAAACCTGTACCCCAGATGTGCTACCCCACTATAGCCTACAGCAACTATGTCATATAAATCTGACAGCGGTGGTTGAGAGAGACGAGTGCTGCTGCTCGTGGCCGCTCGTGGCTTGCGCCATCGCCATGCCGTGCATTCGGCGCGCTCTATCGGGCGACGGTTTTGCCTCGGACGGCCTCTCGTGTTATACGAAGCATGCCCGTGCTCAATCCCCCCCATCCCCCTCTCGCAACGAATTCGCAGCTTCACGTGGCTGACCAAACAGCACCACCGCCCTTCCCAGTTCATCTTCTCTCTTGATACTTTTCCTCCGCGCCTCTTTGCCTCCCTCTTACGCTCCTGCCTTTTCCCTTACCTCTCCTCCCTCACTTCTCTCGATCTCGACTTCTCCCGTCGCCTTCTCTTCCCTCCGCGTCTTCTCTACTCCCTCTCGCAAGCTCCGCGCCTCGAGTCGCTCTCCCTTTTTCATGGCACCGCGCGGACAGACACCCAGCAAGAGATGGCGCGGCACGGCTGCAACGACGCAGTGATGGTGGCTGAGATGTGGGAGATGATTTCGATCATAGAGGAATGTAAGCCGGATGATGATCGAAATCATTTCTCACATCTAGATGAGGAAAGGCCGTTTCCCGTGCTTTCTCGCCTAGAGCTCTCTCTCCCCGCCTGCTCGCCGCTCGTCCTTTGCTTCGTCTCCTGCTTATTTGCCCAGCTTCGCACTCTCGACCTAATCTCCACTGCAAATCACTTTGCAGCTGAGGAGGGCAAAGAGGGCGCTGAAAGCGCTACAAGGAACACGAACGGGTGGAGGGAGCGTGAGAGCGACGTTGACGGACGAAATTGCTACTCTCTACACCTCCCGCTGGCCACGAATGTCACATTTGACGGAATCAGCTGCTCCATTTCGCTGTCCGCCCCTCGCCTCTCCATTCTCAGCTTCACCTGGCGGACTTACTAGTCCCGCCTGAACCTGCTCCCCGCCTGCCCCGCTCACCTGACATCTCTCGTCCTGCACACCGAGTCTGGAGCGCCCCTGATTGACTAGGCCCTGTCAGAATGTTATCTTATGCTCTAGCCTGTAGTGGGGTGCTCTATAGCGAGTACAACCCTTCTAGGGTTTGCTATTTGTATCCTCATTCTTGCTAGTTCAACCCTCTTTCTTTCTTTAAACTTTGTCAGGCCCGTCCCTGGGCAGAGGAGAGTCAAGCACAAGCATTTCACGCTCCTCACCTCACTTCGCTGGACTCCCTCTGCTGCAACATGCAGCAACGGCAGGTTTCATGCCTCCCTCCCGGTGTGATAAAGACTGTGAAGTCAAGCGAGTGGGAAGGTGATTTGGTCTCGCAATCGCTGGACCTACGTGGCTGGGAGAGCTTGCGGTGCTTTTGAGTCGACTCAAAAGCATGCTTTTACGCTGGAGACAGAGCCCCTTTGTCTCTGTCTGTTTTTCGATCCGATGTTCTCTGGCCTTGCGGCGTCGAGGGGTTGTTTTTCACTCGGATTGGGAGCGGCGTTGTGGAAATGTTTGAAAGTTGGTTGAGGGGGAAGGATGGGGGGGAGAGCTTGGGAAAGAGAATGCATGGAGGGGAGGGCACGTCAAGAAGCCGAGATGAGACACGCTTGGAAACAGGAGGTTGTTTGCCGTTGCGGGAGGAAGACAGGCGCGAGGAGGCTGGAACTGGGGATGAAGACCACGCAAATGGGAAGAGTTTGTTGGCTCAACTGTTTCCTGAATGCAAGAATCTGCAGCGGTTTGTGGGGTGGGACAATAATGCGTTTGTACTGTATAGGCTGGATGCTGTTGAAGGGCTGAGTAGGGAAGTGGTTGGGACCCGAGGTGGGTGGCACAAGGTTTTTGAAAACAAAAGCGTGTTTTTTAAAGAGGGTGGATTAGGTGCGCCAAACTTCTGTAATTAGTACGGTATAGTCTTGTTCGTGATCTCAGTGCTTAAAGCGAGTATGTATGTCACCATCAGGTTGGGTTGGCACTACTGCAAGCAACCCGACAAAAACGAGGTTGAATCCGGCGCACCGTAATGTTCCTCTCTTTTGCCCAGTGCCCGGGAATTTCTGGTTGCTTGATCCAGACAGGACAGATACATACACATTCGAGGCAGGACTCAGGACAGAAACACCACAGGGTCACCTAGGCGACTCCATAGTAAAACAAGTGAAGTCTGAAAACTCTCGTGTCGCGCGGTTCCAGCGGATAACTGTATCCGCCAGTTGGAAACGTCGTCTATCTCGTGTTTTTTATTCCCCGGGGACCTCGTAGCCGTTGCTTGGAAACTTTCTACATCGTAGCCGTTGTTTGGACAATTTCGACGGTGTAACAATGGCGGCATTGTTGGGTTTAGACGGCCTGTTTCTCGGCTTCGACAGCTCCACGCAGTGAGTTTGATATTATTTGCGTCTGATTGAGACGCTGTGAGTTGGAGGCCATTCGCGTCGACTCATTGTCGTCTCATTCGCGTCGACTCATTGTCGTCTCATTCGCGTCGACTCATTCGCGTCGACTCATTGTCGTCTCATTCGCGTCGACTCATTCGCGAAACTCCCACATCAAAATTTTGTCTGGAGGCGGGTCTTACTGTGTGATTCTCCTGTTCCAAACTCCCAGGATGTGAAATGAGAATGTCCGGATTTACATCGTGTTTCCGTTTCTTTCTCTTGTTGCGCCGTCCCCAGTCCCTGCAGATCTCAGCCGTTGATAACTTCCTTCACATTGTCATAATTCCGGCTCTTCAATGTGACGCCCCTCATCCATCTGTCCCCCTTTAAAGTCACACCAATTTCAGGTCACTTCAGGGGCCGCAATGCCTTCTTCCTTTCTCCCTCTCTAATCACACCATCTCAGGTCACCCCCCAAGGTGTGGCGATTGATTCCTGTCTCTCCACATCCTCGCCACACCTGATTTTCATAAAATCATCTCGGCAATATGATATGACCCTTCAGTGCATGGCATTTCCCTTTCGCTCACACTCATCTGCCGTCCCCCTCCGCACCCCCCTTATAATCACACCGTCTCAGGCCACTCAAGGTATCGTCGCAATCGATTGAGTTGCTCTATCAAGGCATTGACTGACACCCCCTTACCCCTTTACAGTCACGGTGTTAAAATCGTCGCATGAATCGTCGCAGAAATCTATTTCTCCCTTCACATCGTCGCCACCGAACCGAATTACTCCAATATGACACTGCCACTGCCCTCCCGCCCGCTCTCACCTGAGCCCCGCTCCCTTTCTCCCCTTCTCTCCTCTGCCCCTCCCTCCCTCCCTCCCTTGCCCCACCATTCCCCCTACCCTTCCCCATTTTTCCAGGTCTCTTAAGGGCCATAGCAGCTGATTCCTCTCTTTGCATCGTTGCCACAGAGTCACTCCGATACAACACTGACACTGCCCTTCTGCACAAGCCACCCAACTTCACCCTTAAAACCATCCAACCCCCCTCCCTCCCCTTCCCTCCCCTCTCCCCCCTCCACAACCCCTCCATTCCCCCTCCCCACCCCCCATTATGCTCGTACTGCTTTCAGGTCTCTCAAGGCCACAGCAATTGATTCCTCCCTTCGCATCGTTGCCACCGAATCACTCCAGTATGACACAACCCTCCCCCGCTGGAGGCGTCCACCGAGCCTCCGCCGAGCCTGATTCCTGAACCTCCTCGTCAGGCTCGGCGCTTAGAGTCACTGCACCACCAGCCATGTGGGTAGAGGCTTTTGATGTGATTCTATCGAGGTTGAAAGAAGCGGATGTCCTGTTTGATAAACTCCGGGCAGTTTCCGGCAGTGGGCAGCAGCACGGGAGCGTTCATTGGCAGAGAGGAGCCCGGGCACGGCTTAGAAACCTTCGATCTGACCAGTCTCTTGTTGCTCAGTTATGTGGGGATGAGAGGTCACACACAAAGGGGCTCAGCTCAATCAGTTGAGAATGACTCGTTTCAGGTCAATTCATTATTGCAGCAGAGTGTATTTTTTATTTTCGATTCCTCTATCTGGATGGACAGCAGCACAGCAGCCCAGTGTAGGGAAATCGAAGCAGCTCTGGCTCGTCTCACGGGCTCCCGAGCCTACGAACGGTTCACCGGGCCTCAGGTTCGGCAGGTGTGGCAGCATCAGGCTCAGGCTCGTTTGCCGCGTCGATATTGGTCGGAGATTATGCCCCCATTGATCTGCGGACGAGACAGTGGGCACTAGAGGTGAGCTGACGTGGCACGAGAGGTTAGTCCTGTTACTGCAATGATGTCGTATCGATGGCATATCAATATCATCCGTTTTATGATTGATATGCGATTCTGGTGCTGACACATTGTCGTGGTGTTGGCCCTAATCTATTCTATGCCACTATCTTTCGATTCGATATTATGCATTTCAGTTGATTTGCCAAAGTTGTTTTTCATCTACTTGTTTGTTTAGGTGCCTGCAAAATCACCTGCATGTTTCCATCGTGCCTTGTCTTGTAAAGCATTCCATCAAGACCTACCGCATGTCCACTTGCCCACCCCTCCCCCACCCCACCCCCACACCCACCCCCACCGAGCCTGACAGGCCACTGTGCCGAACCTGCGAGAGAGGCTCAGCGAGGTGGTTCCGTCTCATCAAGTGGTTGGTTGGCAGCGTGCACCAGTGCTACGTAGACAGGTGCGTGCGTGTGCTGTGTTTGTTGTGTGTGTTGTGAGTGTGTCTGATGCGCCTCATACCTGACATGTGGTTGGCAGTGTGCATCAGTACTACGTGGACCGGCGAGTGCATGTGCGGTGTGTTTGTTGTGTGTGTCGTGTGTGTTTGATACGATGGGAGTGGGTGGTTGGCAGCGTGCATCAGTACTACGTGGACAGGCAAGGGCATGTGCGGTGTGTGCTGTGTGATTTTGTCTTTGATGTGCCTCCAACCCTCAGATGTGGTTGGCAGTGTGCAGCAGTACTACAGGTCCGTGTGTGTGCGGTGTGTGCTGCATGTGCGGTGTGCGCTGCGTGTGCGGTGTGTGCTGCGTGTGCGGTGTGTGCTGCGTGTGCGGTGTGTGCTGCGTGTGCGGTGTGTGCTGCGTGTGCGGTGTGTGCTGCATGTGCGGTGTGTGCTGCGTGTGCGGTGTGTGCTGCGTGTGCGGTGTGTGCTGCGTGTGCGGTGTGTGCTGCATGTGCAGTGTGTGCTGCATGTGCGGTGTGTGCTGCATGTGCAGTGTGTGCTGCATGTGCGGTGGTTGCTGCATGTGCAGTGTGTGCTGCATGTGCGGTGTGTGCTGCATGTGCGGTGTGTGCTGCGTGTGCGGTGTGTGCTGCGTGTGCGGTGTGTGCTGCGTGTGCGGTGTGTGCTGCATGTGCAGTGTGTGCTGCATGTGCGGTGTGTGCTGCATGTGCAGTGTGTGCTGCATGTGCGGTGTGTGCTGCGTGTGCGGTGCGCGTTGTCTTTGAGGGTTATTCACAAGCCATGAAATGAATTTTTGGCGCCTAACAAATTACCAAGTACCAGTGCCTTACGAATGGCTAAGTCGTGCCGTAGTTAGGTGGTGGCGACATTTTGGGCCCAGTGGCCGACGGCCGTTACTCTTTGAGAATACTCAAAAACTAGTTGAACGAATGGATACGTTGCGGTGCTGCTGATCCAGTGGCTAAGTTGTGACATGGTCAGGACGACCATTCGAGCTCCTGTTTCCGTTCCCCCTCCCCCCCCCCCTTCCCCCCAACACTCTGCATTCCTCCTGCTCCAGGTTTAGCTTCCCCCCAAACTGGCAAGTCATGGCATGGTCAGGGGACAATTCTTGCAGCACCTCAAATCTCCTGCGTTCCTCATCCCTTCTTCCCCACCCTGCTTTCCTGCCCTGTTCTCTCTCCAGGTTTGGCTTCCCCCCAAACTATGAAGTCGTGGCTTGGTCAGGGGACAATCCTTGCAGCCTTGCTGGTAAGATGTATGCGATGCTCCCACTTGCACCCACTTGCATGCACCCACTTCCACCCACTTGCTCCCACTTGCACCCTTATCCCCCTGTTCATCATTCTGACCATGTTGCTCGCCACTAATTTCCCGGTGTGCTTTGAAAGTGAATGCTGTTTCCAAACCTAATGCCGGACCAGACCACCTGCTGCCTGCCATGCCTGCCTTGCAGGTTTGGCGCTGGGAGGTTCGGGTGATGTGGGCACCGCAAGATCTGGTTACACTCACAAGATTTTCATACTCTGCGACCCGAGACACCCACTTCCACCCACTTCCACCCACTTTTCATACTCTGCGACCCGAGACACCTGGCAAGCCCCTGACCATGCTTGGTGCCACGTCAGCCATTCACAAGGTAGGTTGCATGCATGTGAGCAGCAGAGAAACAATCATGAAAACCATGGTGCACACTTGTGAGGCTGCATAAGTGTTTGCTTGATTTTGAGGCGCTTCAAAAAAACGTTTTTTTAAGGCGCCTAAAAGATCTACAAGGTAGGTTGTATGCAAATTAATCAACCATGGGACAGCCATGGGGGTCATGGTGCAAACTTGTGAGGTTGCAGTAGTGTTCGCCCATGTGGAAGACTTACGAATCGACACCAGCCTTGTGCACATCTTTGAGTGCACTTTTAGTGAAGATGTGCATATCTTGTTTGCACTTCTTAGGCGAAGAAGTGCACATCTTGTGTGCACTTAATAACTTGGAAAGTGCACATTCTGTGTGCACTTAATAACTTGGAAAGTGCACATCTTGTGTGCACTTAATAATCTGGAAATTGCACATCTTGTGTGCACTTAATAATCTGGAAATTGCACATCTTGTGTGCACTTAATAACTTGGAAAGTGCACATTCTGTGTGCACTTAATAACTTGGAAAGTGCACATCTTGTGTGCACTTAATAATCTGGAAATTGCACATCTTGTGTGCACTTAATAATTTGGAAAGTGCACGTCTTATGTGCGCTTCTTGGAGGGGTGGTGCCACGTGTAATGAAGCCATTACTCAGCAAGCACTCACTATTCTTCCCCTCCTTCCCCTCCTCCCGCTGCTTCCTCCTTCCCCTCCTGCTCCTCCTTTCCCTCATGTCTTCTCCCCCCCCCCCCCCAAGTCCCAGGGCCTGCCGGGTTTCTTTCGAGGGGTGGTGCCACGGGTGATGAAGCGATTACTCAGCAAGCACTCGCTATCCCTCCCCTCCTTCCCCTCCTGCCGCTCCTTCCTCCTTCCCGTCCTGCTCCTCCGTTCCCTCCTGCTCCTCCGTTCCCTCCTGTCTCCTCCACCCCCCCAGTCTCAGGGCCTGCCGGGTTTCTTTCGACGGGTGGTGCCACGGGTGATGAAGCGACTACTCAGCAAGCACTCGCTATGCCTCCCGTCCTTCCCCTCCTGCCGCTCCTTCCGCCTTTCCCTCCTGCTCCTCCGTTCCCTCCTGTCTCCTCCACCCCCCCAGTCTCAGGGCCTGCTGGGTTTCTTTCGAGGGGTGGTGCCACGGGTAATGAAGCGATTACTCAGAAAGCACTCGCTATCCCTCCCCTCCTTCCCCTCCTTCCTCCTTCCCCTCCTGCTCCTCCTTTCCCCCCTATCTCCTCCACCCCCCCAGTCTCAGGGCCTGCCGGGTTTCTTTCGAGGGGTGGTACCACGGGTGATGAAGCGATTACTCAGCAAGCACTCGCTATCCCTCCCCCCCCCCCCCCGACAGTTTAGGGCCTGCCGGGTTTCTTTCGAGGGGTGGTGCCACGGGTAATGAAGCGGTCAATGCAGCAAGCACTCACTCTCCTTCCTCTCCTTCCCTTTCTACTTCTCTGTTTCCCCCTTCCCCCCTCCCCCACTTCCCCTTCCTCCTTCCCCCTTCCCTCCCCCCCCCAGTCGCAGGGCCAGCCGGGTTTCTTTCGAGGGGTGGTGCCACGGGTGAGGAAGCGGTCAATGCAGCAAGCACTTACATGGTGAGTGTATGGATGATCAGGCGATTCTTGAGGCATCTCAAAAGCATTGAGGTGATAGGTTTACTTTTTAGTCGACTCAAATGTGCAGCAAGCGCTCACATGGTGAGTACTCACGTGGTCACCATTGCTTGTTTTTTGAGAATTCTCACAAAACAGATTCAGCTTGAGAATTCTCGAAAAACAAATTCGACATAAGATTATTAAGAAAACGTATGTAATGCAGCAAGCACTCACACGGGGAGTAAAGATGTGGTCACCATTGCTTGTCCTGGCCCTTCCCTTCAACCTCCACTGATTTTCCCCTCCTCCCATCCCTCCCCCTTCCCAACCTTCTCTATTCCCCCTTTTCCCAACCTTAGTATCTTCGTCTTCTTGTCCCTGTTGTAATTATTGCAATATCTTTGCATCCATGATGCTCCTTGTTTGCAGGACTCTCTTGCAGCACCTCTTGTCCATTCGACCGTTTGATTTGAGTCGTCTCAAAGCTGATTCTCGTCCTCCGTGTTACTTGCAGGATGCTGTTTGAGCGCCTCTCCTCTGTTCTCCCTGGTAGAATGCTCTGGGATCGGAAAGATGCTGGTCCAGCGAGGAGCAATGAAACGTCACTGCCTGCTATGCCACAAGATGCTGGTCCAGCGAGGAGCAATGAAACGTCACTGCCTGCTATGCCACAAGATGCTGGTCCAGCGAGGAGCAATGAAACGTCACTGCCTGCTATGCCACAAGATGCTGGTCCAGCGAGGAGCAATGAAACGTCACTGCCTGCTATGCCACAAGGTGCTGCTCCAGCGAGGAGCAATGAAACGTCACTGCCTGCTATGCCACAAGATGCTGGTCCAGCGAGGAGCAATGAAACGTCACTGCCTGCTATGCCACAAGATGCTGGTCCAGCGAGGAGCAATGAAACGTCACTGCCTGCTATGCCACAAGATGCTGGTCCAGCGAGGAGCAATAAAACGTCACTGCCTGCTATGCCACAAGATGCTGGTCCAGCGAGGAGCAATGGAGGATGAGGAGCACAGGAGGGTGGGGGAGGTGGTGGTGGTGGTGGGGGGGTGAGTGTCAGAGGTCCACTGGTGATCCCCGATCGATCCTAGGGAAGGGTTACAGGCACATTTGCCTGGGGGGTTATGGGCGCACTGACCCGCTACTGAAACAAGCCCTTTTATCCCAATGGTCTAGTGGTTGGGATTCTGAGATGGTATCAGAGCGAAGGTCTCGGTTTCGAATCCCGGTGTATGCACTTCGGGCATCCCAGTGCGAGGGGGGCGTCAGAGGTCCACTGGTGATCCCCGATCGATCCTAGGGAAGGGTTACAGGCACATTTGCCTGGGGGGTTATGGGCGCACTGACCCGCTACTGAAACAAGCCCTTTTATCCCAATGGTCTAGCGGTTGGGATTCTGAGAGTGAGGAGGGGGAAGGGGAAACTTTTGAGACGCATCAAAGGGCGCTTGGAGATCGGAATGATGCGGGACCCTTGAGGAGCACTGGATGTTGAGGAGCAAAGGAGAGTGAAGTGTCAAAGACAGGGCAGGTGGATGCTGGGGTTTTCTAGTGAGGGCTGGAAGAGAGGGAAGAGGGGGGAAGTGGAAAGTTGTGAACTGTATTTACCGCATTGCTTACATTCTTTTGTTCGTTGTGTAGTGGTTTGTCTCTATAAAAGGTTGTTGCAGGGCACATTATACGGTATATTGAATCAATTATAGCCACAAAAATCCTATCAAAATGAGGGGAGAAAGGGCGCTAAGCGACGGGGGGGGGGGGGGGGGTGGGGAAAGGGCGCTAGGTAACGGGGAGAAAGGGCGCTAAGCGACGGGGGGAAAGGGCGCTAGGCTCGGTACTAGGCGCGGTAACAACGGAACTGGTACGAACGAGAGGTAGGGTCAGGCTCGGGAGGTACGAACGGAGAACGGAGGAACGGGATCCCACAGGATCCTAACCTAGCTGATACCATATCAAAATGAGGAATGGATGATGCCATTGATGTTGGTTGGGGTACATATAACAAACCCTAACTTCTGTACCCCCTAAGACAAACCTCACTATAGGCTACAACATTTGACAAATCCCCACCGAAGATGCTTGGTGTTTGAATATGGGTGTGTGTAACCACAAACAATTATTACCCCTATGCCCTTCTGAGATGTGGCCATGTCTGCTCGGCAAGCCATGCAAAGAATTGGCCTCGTGTTCCGCATACGCGCAGTTGGAAGTGGACCTCGTGTTCCGCATACGCGCGGTTGGAAGTGGGCCTCATGTTCCGCATATGCGCGGTTGGAAGTGGGCCTCGTGTTTCGCATACGCGCGGTTGGAAGTGGGCCTCGTGTTCCGCATACGCGCGGTTGGAAGTGGGCCTCGTGTACCGCATGTGCAGTGTTGGAAGTGGGCTCGTGTTCCGCATGTGCAGTGTTGGAAGTTGGCTCGTGTTCCGCATGTGCAGTGTTGGAAGTGGGCTCGTGTTCCGCATATGCAGTGTTGGAAGTAGGCTCATGTTCTGCATATGCATAGTTGGAAGTGTTCCACATAAAAAGGCAGTGGTCAGGTTCAATGGGTACATCTCCAGCATCCTTACGCGTATGTTAGCTGCATAGGAAGAGGAGAAACAAGCAATCGGTTGGGAAGCCCTCTGGGGTCTCCCTACAGTCCGTGTGTCCTCAAAAGCGATGGAATTTCTATTTCCGTCGAGCAGATGTGCGCAAAATAACACACCACTGAATGACAACATCATCATGTCTTTCTATTCGAGTACAGTCATGAGTCTAGAGTCGCTGTTTTCTGCACATGCTGTGTGGGTATCACATGCTGCACAATTAGAGCAACGGTATCACAAGCTTGAAAAGAGAATACTACATCTAGCCCTTATGCGACCAGGCCTCCTCAGAGCCGTCTTCAGACTCAGATGCTTCGGAATGCCCCTCCTTCCTCCCAGTGTCCATAAATGTGCCATTGTCACCACCCTTAACCGAGTGTACATCTCTAGATACGCCTGTGCATTCGCCCTGTCCATCGCACTTCAGATTACCCGATTGCCGTTCTTCCTTCTTCATCCGTTTTGCCTGTGGATGTGATGGTTGCATTGTTTTTCCTCCTGCCCCCTTGCGTTCCTCCTCCTCAAACGCCTTGCGCCACTCTCTCCAACGCCACCAGTTGCGCGCCCGAACGAGAGTCCGCATGATGTCCTTATTGCACCCTTCCAGTGCGCGCTTTTCCTTTTTAGACAGCTGCTTTATGTCCGGTATACTCTCATCCGGACGCGTCACAAAGGCCGCTGCAGCGTATGCATAGGCCGCCTCCTCCTTCGTCGTATACGCCCCCAGGCGGTTCTGTGTACGAACCCCATCCTCGTTCACTAGAATCTTCGCACCCCACTTCCCAGTGCTGCGCTCATGATACACCCCGGTGTATCGAGGCAGCTGAGTATTGTCACCTTTCTCGACAACAAACGGCGCAACAGTTTTGCCATCGTTACCATCACCACCCAATGTTGCCATCTTCCCGGTCGTTGGTATGGTTGACACTACAGGTATTTGGATGCCGAAATACTCTGCAGATGTTGGGCTTGGATGCATTAGTGGCTGCTGCTGTTGGGAATAGAGCCAGCATAGGACAGTTTCTGTCATCGGGAGCGGAGCCGGGGATTCATGTATCAGACCAAATGCCCTGCTTGACTTCTCGTCAGCATGAACCCGAGAAAACTTACCGTCCCCCTGTGGACTGTCATGCAGTGGTTCTGCGTAGCTCGATGGATATTGGGGTGTGGATTGAGCATTGTTAATACCCGCACAAGCTAACTTCCTGCTCCACTCCTGATCTTGCTGGAGGACATGCGCAGCTGCTGCTAGCACCTGGTCCTGACTGTACCCGAGTACCTGCCCAATGGCGATGACACTTGCGTTGAGGATTGTTACCTCACGTTTCATCACCTGAATTTCAGTATGCACTTTTCCGACTCGCGCGCAGCCATCACAGTCATCGGGATGCACAACAGCTGTTTCGGCTATCACTCTCTTTGTCTTCTGCGGCGGGACGTTGAGTCCGAGCTGAGACAGCTTTGATAGCAGCTTCCCTTCGGCATGCTCGCAAATGTCCGCCCGGATTGAACGGCGGTACTGCAACGAACTCACACCGCGGAGGCTAATCCAATCGCGCACAGTCTCGAAGCTAGAGTCTACTAGCGCTTTGAGGTAGTGGCATACGTAGATCCCGTTGTCAAACGAGTTCGATTGCATTGGAATTTGATGTTCCTGCACACATGTCATCACAAGAACTGTAAACTTTTGTTCCCTCCAGGAAACTGAAATGTATACTAAGTATGCAGTTTAAACTTACCCCCATGACAATGCAGTCCGCCTCTTGCAGAATAGTATCGATGCGATTGATGTCTGCGTGAGGGTGGGCATGCCTCGCCATTGCTGCTAGTACCCTGAAATGAACATTCTGGGAGATAAGAAACTTTGGACGAAAATCAGTTGTATGCAAACTTGGTTTTGCACACTTACAACTTTGTTCCGTTGAAAACCTCGGGCGACTTGGAATGATTTGCTGCACTTTCGTATAGTATCATCTCAAGTTGTCCACCATTCTTGCTTGCATGAGAGTCCAGGAGCCGATAAAGAGAGGGCACGACTATTAGGGAGTAGTGATTCCTGCACACATACCATAAATGGATGTGTTAGAGGGTCTCAGCTACAAACATGTTATTGCAACCAATGTACGAACATGTGTGTGTCAAAAAGGTTAGCACCTTAAGAAAACGGGT